TAAAATCCTAAACTAAATATAATATAATATTTAAAATTAAATTTTAATAAAATATAACAATATCCATTAAAACTAACAAGTTTACATCTCAAATTAAAAGTGTGAAATTAACATAATTTAAATTATAAAAATTTAAGATATAAAAAAATTACAAATTGCATATCTAATTTATTCTAATTTATAATTTTTATTAAATATGTATGTGAATTTTTACTAAAAAATATCTAAATTAAATTTTTATAAAATTTTAAAAAGAAGAATTTTTTATTTGGATCGATTCGAACTAGTTTTCCACACCGGTTTTGAACAATTTTTCCTCGGTTTGACCGGTTCTTGATTAATTCGCACGGATTCTAAGATACTTCAATTATCGCTCATTATCATATCAATTTCCGATTTGATCTACCTATCTAGTTTTCAAATGTTAAAAAACTTTAGAGATTAAAAATATATTTAATTAATAATAACTATAAATAATAAATAACATCTATAAGGTTTAACTTAATTGATTGAGCAGTGTGCGTGAATGATTGTGACTCCTTTATTGCGCTTGATTTGTATTGGTAAAAAAAAGTGCAGCAAATTAGTTTACAACGCATGAAAGTTGTGCAATGTGATAAATGCTTTCGTGTATCATATGTATAAGTTTTTCACGCTTTTACGAACCAACGTGTTTAAATATGACAGCGATTCTTAATGCGTAAACTTTGCATAAACAACAACCGAAAGTTCATACCTTAGTGCATGCATGTAAAAACTTGGATAGCAGTTTAATTGAAAGGTTGATTGGGAAAAGGCGCAGGAAGCAATGATTTGATATGCTAAAGATTGAAGTCCAAGAAGTGCGAGGTCTAAAAATTGATGGTTTTTCATGCGTCAAGTGGAATATTGCTAGCTTGCATGTTTCTGAAACTACCAAGCAATCTATGATGAGTGGAGGTGTATCTCTTGTACAAGTATCCTAGTTTGATTGGGCGTAACATGAATATGTTATTTATATGAAATATTTGATGATGTCTAATAATCGGTTTGTGAAGGAGTGAAACAGCTGAGTATAAATATAAAGAACAAACAAGTATGTGAGTGAGAGAGGGAGCACTGTCTCCATAAATTCTCTCAATATAGAATTAAACTTTTTATAAATAAATAAATAAATACTCAATATAAACATTTTGAAAAGGTACCATAAACCAAAATATAAGTAAAACTTAATTAATTTCATCCAAATTAATGATACCTCACTCATAATGCTCTTCACATAATTGAAGTTTTGTTTTATTTCCAATAATTTTTTTATTCTCGAAATTAAGTTTTAAAGAAGGAAATTTTAATAAAATTTATTTTTTAAATGTTGGGAAAAGAAGCCTTCAAACAGCGACAGCGGAAGCATACACAACAAGAATAGAGAAACAAAAACAAACTCATTTTATTTCTCTCCACTTACAATTTTTACAAGGACTACAATTTTTACAAGGACAAAATTGTAAACCCTCTCATCACAAGTTTTCTGGAAAAACTTGGAAACTTTCATACACAAGTTTTCTGGAAAAACTTGAAAACCCTCTCATGACACACAACTACCCAAGTCCCCAATACACCCATTGGAACCTATGTTGTTGTGGTGAGTAGACACTAACTATCACCTCTTATTTATAGTAGTAGTCTACCACTCCCTTCTTCAAACTTCATGATGTGGGACTTTGGAGGATACCCACACACTTTGGGCACAACATTCCTCCCTTCAAAACTACCCAATGTGGGACTTTGGAGGATACCCACACACTTTGGGCACAACAAGCTTTAAGTTGAGGTGTGCTGTTTGCTGACAAAAATATACCTGAACCAGGAGCTTGTTTCAAGTAACAGAGAATACAAAAAATAGCTTGAGAATGAGTCGTGGTAGGAGCATAAATAAACTAACTATATGATGATGAACCCCATGAGTGATGTCAGGACGAGTAGTTATAAGATAGACGAGTCTACCAATAAATCTATGATAAGTTGATGGATCTGGGAGAGGAGTGCCAATGGTTGCAGAGAGGCGAGTGCCATAATCCATAGGTGTGGAAACCGGGCAAGAGGAAAGCATCCCACAATCCGATAGGATATCAAGTGTGTATTTTAGTTGAGATATGTTTATACCAGACTTATTTCGAGCAATTTCAAGCCCAAGAAAATATTTGAGATCACCAAGGTCCTTTATCTTGAATGTGGCATCAAGTAGCTAAGTAATATGTTGTATTTCAGAAATGTTATTGCCTGCAAGGACAATATCATCTACATAGAAAAGAAGTGTTGTGGTCATGGAACCAGAAAACTTGAGAAACAAAGAATGATCAAATGGAGATTGGTGATAACCATGACTAAGAAGAAAGGAAGATAGTTTAGCAAACCACTGTCAACTAGCCTGTTTTAACTCATATAATGAACGTTGGAGCTAGCAAACCTGATTGGGATTAGTTGGATGCATGCCAGGAGGTAATTGCATGTAAACTTCGTTAAGTAGTTCACCATGTAAAAATGCATTTGTTGACATCTAATTGTTTAAGGTGCCAATTATAAATGGCAGCTAAAGCAAGAAGAAGTCTCACAGTCGTAAGTTTAGCAACTGGGGAAAAAGTTTCAAGAAAATCCAATCCTTCTTGTTAAGTGTACCCTTTGGCGACAAGGCAAGCTTTGTATCGTTCGATAGTTCCATCAACATTATACTCCGCTTTATGTATCCAACGACATCCAATGGCAGTTTTGTGAGGTGGGAGAGTTGCGAGCATCCCTTTTGAGGGATGGTTCCCCTCCTTAGCCTTATGCTCGTTACAATGGTGCTTTCATTGAGAGCCAGCCAAATCGAGAAGGGCTACCCACGGAGGGTTCTGACCATCGGAGGGTTCTGACCGGCAAGGGCCGAGTGAAGTGCCGATGAGTGAAGTACCGTGGAGTGCAGCCATCGAGGACGCTGGCTTTCGAAGGGGGAGATACCCACATACTTTGGGCACAACATTAAATGAGAGCAGTAAAATTATATCATATTACCTATTTTTCTTGATTAACATAAATTATTTTTATATTTGAATTCCAAGTTGATTTAGCAAACTAGTGACTGGTTATATATATAGGACAAATACAAAAAAAACAAGATAGATAAGGAAATATCATCACGAAACCAAGGAAATAAAGGGGGAGCGACTTATACTTTTTGAAAAAGAGGGAAAGATTTGCGTGCATCATTTACAGCATAGTAAATTCATCAAAAAAAAAAACAACAAAAATACATGTTGGTAGCATTCACCCAAAGAAAAATACATTACATGTTGGTAACATTATTTACATAATGCATTTGGCAGACCTTCAAAAACTAAGACATCACTAGCGGAAAATTACTGCAACAGCGGCCTCCAAAATGTTTTCAGCCGTTAAAACCCGAACTTGAGAGCACGGAGAATATTGCGACCTTTAACCAATACTTGACTGAAAAATTTGAGACAAATCTATTAATCCATATGATCAACCTGAACAAAATTTTGCTATGATTCTCCACGCCCCTCCAAAAGAAAAAGGATTATGTTGTGTACTTAGAATCTATTTGGATGAGTTTGAAAAGTTTTTGAAAGTTTTTTATTGAAAAATATTTTTTATTTTTAATAAAAAAAATTTCAAAAACACTTTTAATTTGTACCCAAACAAATTCTTATCGGATGATCTATCATCTTCCTATCTTCGTAGCCCTCTCAACCGCTTAAGGGATGGCAATCTGACATCCTCAGAATTGACTAATTTGTCATCTGCAAGAATTGGGAATGAAAACAAAACAGTTTTACACTCTCAAGTTAGACAGAAGAACATAACGTGTCAAGATATTAAGGTTACAAAAAAATGGTATAAAAATAACAAAATTAAATATGCATCGCCCTTAACATCATATAAAATATAAAATAGCCTAATACATATATACAACTAATTAAACAAGATGTAAGACAAAGTGATATCACTTTTTAATGAGCAACAAAAGGCTCATGAAAATAATACTGATCAACTAAACTGTTGTAATGAAGAATAACAATAAGGAAATAATGTATTATATTTTTTAATTTGTATCATTTCATCTGTTGAATGGGTTTAATTTATATACATGATCAACGTAAAATATATATGAATTTACCTTATTTTTACATCATATTAGAAATAACATGGCCGTATTGGGCTTCATTCCCTCCACTTCCTTATTTTAAGCTACTCTAAGACCTCTAAACCTACAGATAGCCATCCTATGGTCTTCTAGGAATCCTTCTGGCTGACTTTACTTCGTTCTTTGAGGGTCTTCGAGTTTTATTTCCGACCCGGACAATTTTAGGGGTCTACAGCTGCCCCCCCTTTACTTAGTC